TGAGACTTGATATGAAAGACTCGTCATTTCAGTGCAAAGAATTAATAATAAATTCTATTTTTATTGCATTCTAAAGTTTCCAATAATTTAATAATTTAATTCTCAAACACATGGATCAATGTTTCAATCTCTTTTCCTCTATAATTGTTTGGCTATTCTTATCTGATCTGGAACCATATCAGCCAACGATCATCGCAAGCTAGTCACGTAAGGGATATACATAGAGTCAACCACGATATAACAAACACAGTGTTAACTACTCTACCAAAGCGCCATCTATATCAGCTAAAATCTTTTTAGACTTACCTTTCACAACAAAACTGAAACAAAATACGAATATTCCTGATATTTAAATAATTACAAGTGATAGAGTAACCTAACCTAACCCAGAAGTTAGGTTCCAGAGCAGGGTCTAGAAACTTGCTACTCAAGCTCTATCCCTTTTACATTCTTGACGACACAGTCTCCATCTTGTCTCAATATTCCGCTCCTCCGCTTACGACAATTTGCAACACTGTTGTCATATCTCACTCGGTCCCCATGGGCCTCGTTAGCCGCCTCTGTTTATAGCAAAGACACACTGGACCGATAACGAAAATTCGTGTACCCTATCTTCTAATTGCGTCCCATTACCGTGACCAATCAGATCTGCATTCTTCCCAACAGCCTCCTGACTCTATACTACCCCAAATTCTTACCTCTTAGCTTTTTGACATGTGAGACTAACATAAGCAATAGCAGGCTAAGTAACGTCGTCAAGGATTTCTTACTGCGTTTATGCTAACTCCTCACACTTGACTGTCTTTTCTCTCGAAACTATACAAAACCAAATTACGAATAAAACAAAATTTGTCAAAGATTCCCCATAAGATCTTAAGATCCTTGAAATTTAACTAAAAAAAATAGATATTTTTTTTTTACTTTTATTCGAAGTATACGCTTGCGAGAATGTCTGTGCGAAAGGATTTGTTTGAATTCGTAAAATTGGCGAAGTTATAGGGGTTTGAAGTATGACGAACAGGCATTGTGCAATGGGTAACGAAAACTTCAAACGCGTTTTTCTCGAAATCTTATTTTTTGAACTGGCTGACGGGATATCTCGCGTTTTAGTTGATCGATTGACTCGAAATTTGGAGGAGACCTTCACAGGGTGTGTCTTCATCGACTGAACCACGGATTTCAAAATCTGACGTTTTCTTCTATTTTTTTTTTTACCACGCTAGGGACAGAAGCAGGAGGAATATCAATATTTGAACTTCAAAATGCCGCCATTTTTTTAATTTTCGAAATTTCGCTGTTTTGGTGGTTCACGCTATAGCTGTATTTATACTGATTAAGATGCTTTTTATTTTCTTCGTTTCGCATGAACAGATGCTCCAGAATCACCTCAGCCTCTGGGTACCAAAACGTATCATGATTTCCTTATATATAATAAAGTATAGTAAAATATACATACAACTGGTCCCAAGGCCATACCGTTGTATTAAAAACAACTCAGTACTGTGCTCTAACTCCACGTCAATTTTTATCCCCATAAACGAACCAGTTTCGCGTGTCACGTCTCTGTGACAGTCTTAGAGCCCTATTCCCAGCCCAGATTTATCAGCAGAGGTGATCAGGCGCGAAAATACCTGTGAGCAATCATGATCGAAGGCACTCCGGAAAACTCGTAGCTCTGACTGGGATTAACCCCACGGAAACCGCGTATCGATTCCTCGGCGAGGAATTCGAGCGTTCCGCTCGATGTTCCCATCGCGTGGATGTTAATACAAATACCGAAATTTAGGTCGTCGAGCTAGCTGTTAATTTACAAGCACCGGTGCAACCACTTCACGTCGCCGTCTGTTATCCGAATGACCCTTACGAGCTCTCCGGCGATTTATTAACACCGTATTGTTAAAGCTCTTGAAGCGTTCGCGGGTAGAACAGAAACCGACACGTTACGCCAAGGGCCGCTCGTGGCGCGCTGGCAACGGGGGTTCCCCGTTGTTCGAGCGGCTGGGAATACGCTGGGAAACTAATAACCACGTGAATCGACTCCTCGACGAGGAATTATCGCCGGTCATTAATCTGGACTTCGAACCTTTCGTGAAAAATCTGCCTCTCCGTCCGGCACGTTTTTCAAAACCGAGCGTAATCTCGTTTATCTCGAATTAAAGATACACACTGCGATCGAAGCAATCGAGGCGATGGCTCTCTCGATTGTTCGCCGATGAATGCACAGGTGCAACGAGTATAACTGCGCGAATGAATCGAGGAGCAATTAAGAGCCTTCGAAACTGTGAGAGATTAAAAAATCGATCTTCCGTTGCTCTAGGGACCTTTGGGGATATTTTAGATCCAGCTCGGCAAAAAAAGGGAAATACGAATTTTTGGTACTCGTGTTTTGTTTTGGACCTAGTGGGGCGCGGAGGAAATTAAAAAGGATTTTTTGCTAGTCGAATTGGCGTTCACTTTTTACCGTGCATTGAAGTAGTTTTGTATAGGCGAGTATGGAAAAATAAAATGCTGGAAGAATTTTATATAAAACAATTATCAGCCATTGAATCGGTATATTTTTCGCGAATTTCCGTTGCACGATGGCAGAAGCTTTTTAGCAGTAATATTTCCAATGTTTCGGAGAGCTCGCGCGATCGTGAAAAATGGAACTGTGAATAGTGCTTTTTATTATCCTGGTTCCTTTCTAAGCGCTCCAGTTTTTCCTGCCCGACCGTGTGCCCGCCGCGAGTGATTGTCGGAAAGATTACTAGGGAGCTAGGGACTTGAGTAATTTTTCGCAAGATTGCATATTCCCGCGAACAGCGGTTCGATGGTGGATTTTAACGCGCTCAAATAAACTCATGTCAATTTTATTCGATATTACGCGATATTAACGCATGAAATGTTCTCGATAAAACATCCGTGAAATAAAGTGTCATTTTCATGAATTTACGATCCGCAAAATTTATCAAACCGGTAACCAGAATCAATTCGAGATAAATTTATACATTTTCCTTTTTTTCTTTTTTCATGTGTTTTTTACGAATTTAGTTCTGCTCTACGAGATTTTCATTCGGAGTCACTCGATTAATCGCCGCTAAATTATCGTGGGATATCTGATGCCGAATCTGGCGCGAGTAAATCATTTGCATTCGCTCCCACTGTAGTAATAACTGCGTCCGTAAGCGCTGACTTCGTTAGCGGATTAATATACGGCTTGTTTAAAAAAAAAAATGCGAGACAAAAAGATAGGAGGAAAAATAAAAAAACAAAAAAAAATAAAGAAAAAGGAAGGGAAAAAAGTAAGCGAAAAACGAAAGAAGATAGCGGTGTGAAAGGTGACCCTAAAAGAATCTGCGTCGAAAATGAAAAATGCATTGAAACTCTTTCGTCCTCATTTACTCCGTGCTCCATTGCCAGAGCATTTTCTCGTACGCCAGCATGGGGACAAGGAGCCGTATTTAAGCGGCAGAATATCTCCTCTTTTTATTCCGTGAAAACCGGGCTTTACGGTAAAAATGGGACCGCGGGAAATGAGGAAACATCGAAAAGCTGGGAAAACCTTTAACTGTGCGTTTCAATCATGCGACACCGCATGGCTTTAGCTAAATCTAGGTGAAGATCGTAATTGCGTTTTAGCACGAAATATACAGCGAACCGATCCGGTGACATTTTATTTTGCGCGACAATTTCACTCGGAAATTAACAGACCTAAAACATACTATTAATAAATCAAATTTAATCCTAATCGTTAATTACACACGGTACAGTCGCTCGTGATTGGTCCGTGTGAATAAAAGAAGAATCTGAAAAATACAGTCGACTACGCGATCTACCTTATTCCGTATTCTGTGCCCAAACGGTGCATCTTCCCGGAACGAACTTTTCCATCTATTAGACGCGATTCTATTTCGTGGTAATGGCGAGGAACGAGCACGTAAATTGAACTGTCACACGGAATTAACGTTAACGAGAAAATCGTTCGCAAATCCGTTTTGCGACTTACGTATTTGCAATCTCTGCTTTGTCTGTGCCTCCGCAGTTTTGCCTATGTTCGTTCGTGCGTGATAATTTGCGCACACACAAGGTTACTCCCCCGAGATAGGTGCGCTTTGAAACGTTTTAAAAGCGAGCGCTTTTCTAAGGACCGTGCTTCTCTTTTTACCCGACGAAAAAGAACACGCCGAAACTTGTACGGTGGCGCTGAAACGCCGTTAACACCTCGCGAACAAGAATCCCGAATTAACATTCTTCCCGAATATCACTCGGAACAAGTTCGGAGAAAAATCTCGTGACAACGGATTTACAATAATTCCGTTCCGTTCCGTCACACCGTCCCGACGAGTACCGTGAAATGCGACGTTGTCGTGAACGGGCGGAACGATGAATAACCGTGTTTCAAAATTCTTGGAAAATTTTATTCGTTAGAAAAATCTAATTTTCAATCAAGAATCCGGGATCGAGTGGATAAAAAAGAGCAATCAGTATGGTTGCATTAGGATACGTGACATTAACGATTAAAATAGCCAGCAAAGTAGCGAGGACAGGATATTGTGCGATATATAACGTCAGATTCGATTAATGCCGCTCGGTCGCATGGAAAGAGCGTTGGAGTCCGGTAGGCGGTTGATCGTGTAGTCCTCGATGAAGGCAAACATTCTCGCCGAGAATGTACGTAGCGGACGATCGTTACAGGCACATAGTATAATGCACTCTAAATGAACGCATCAAGCATCGCGGTGCATCGATCGAGCTCCGTGAACCATTTGACAGGTAGCACGGCTTAATTGGCAAGCATTTAAGGGAAATTTCACGGGACGAGTACACCGTGGCCACTACATCGATCGTGATGCGCGTTGCGCGTGACATTTGCCGCTTGTTCGACAAGAGGGTAAAAAAATAAAAATTGTCACCAAGATTGGTCGCGAAGAAATTGTCCGCGGCGATCGATTGCCACTGGCCGCACGACTACCGTGTCCTTTCTGTTTTTCTATTCTAGCTCAGATCGTATCGGTACTCACCTGGACCCGGCAGACCATCAAGACGCCCAGCAGTGCGGGCACCAGCATCCCCTTCATCTTTCTTCCTTGGCTGACCTTTGTAAAACTCCTGCACGATGTTCGTTTGGATTCCTCTCGTAACGATTCCTGCTCGCCTCGATCTTCTACGAAGAAACGACGATGCACTGACTAACAAACGCCAGAAACGTTGCAGAACAATTTGCTGTATGCAAGGCACCACTCACCCGCCGTATACGAGAGCACAGCGTACTACTGTGACACTGCTGCTGGGTGGGTCGCTTTACGAGAAATCAAGATGGAGGTGAAGCGCGGCGCCGGTGCCGCTGAAACGATTCGACCAATCAAAAGCTGTCACTAGATGACCGCGCCGGAGGGTGCGTTCACATGCGCGCAGTGGTCAGTCGATAATGTGGCGGGAATATCGTGATTTTAAACGCTACACATCGTCATGTACGTAATTGATAACTTTCGACAGATTTTCCGGCGGAAATGTTGCTTTCAGCGAAACACCCGACGTCTGTTCTATTGAAACTGCGAGTATTAATCAGTGAAATAGCTTTTACACAAAGCGACAAGTTAAAATATAGGGATTTTCTCATTTATATTTAAAAATACTATTTTCAGGTTAAATGTAAAATTGAAAATCCGAATCACGTGTAATTATAATTGGAATTTTGGTATTTAGATCCTAAGACGTATTTTAGAGATTGAACGTTCAAAGTATATCTCTTTAAGCTGTTTTCACGACTATTTTAGCGACCAAATACAAATTCGAAAATAAATTTAGCAGACAAAAATATAAAAGAAGAGTGCAGCTAAACGAATACGTAGGTATATTCACATTTAATCCTCTTTAAACTTCATTTCGCCATTGTTTGCACGTTATATCATTCGTTCGTTCTTTTTTCACAGAAAATATCGTTGAAAACCTTGAACATCGGTAACACACGTGAAAGGGGAATTGAAACAACAGATTGAGTACTGCAAAAGTATTGACATTATAATTACGACCATGTATCGTTGAAATTCAGTAAGATTAAATTGGTAATATTAATATAAGCGACATAATAATTATGCTTTAACATATGTAATAAATATTGACCGAGTCGTGTACGATTATCATTCCAAATCAGTACGCGATTAACAACGCATAATTGCATAAATATTCAGTTAAACGCTGAATTTAATCCATCTATATTTCAGGGCGTTCACGTATTTAATACGGCCAACCGAAATGTCCAGCCTACGGTATAGAAAGCCTAGCTAATGCCAATCGATGACAAAGTTTGGCGCGTCATCCGTCGCAGTCGACTGACACCTCGTTTTGATTTTCAACGAAAAAATAGAACGGGTACGAGCATCGTTTAGTAAGAAGCGAGACATTGTCGAGCATTTTCAATTCCTAACCTACAAGGACGATACGTAGATGCAACTACGATATTTCCATCATTACACACCAGCAATCCGCTATTAATACGCACAGAATAATTCCACGCTATGACATCATTTATATTCGCCTCTAATACCTTCCTACGTTCGTAACGCGAATCAAGGCGAGGCTGGGAGGATGGACGAAGACAGGATCGAACGGTACAGGACGAAATATCGTGAGCAGCATATATCGAAGGCCCTTTAAGTCGAACAAATTGCCAAGACTGTATCACTGCATCCGCTTATGCCGGGTCTTGTCATTTTTACGGTTTACAGAATCTTGCATACCGCCTTATCAAGCGTCTCTTGACATTTCGTTTTGTTAACAACCGCGTGTCCCTCTGACTTTTCTATTTTTCGTCTAAGCCACCCGGGCCCAGGGAAATTACACATTCCGCGTGGCTTCATCTGTTTTTCTTCTACCCTTTCCTCTCTCGTTGTCTCTCTCTCTCTCTCTCTCTCTCTCTCTCTCTCTCTCTCTCTCTCTCTCTCTCTTGCTCTCTTCCCTTATTCTCTCCCTTTCTCCTTTTTTCAGAAGAGCATGAAAACGCACGAGCAGATAGCCTTGGCCCATACCTTTGCCCGTGTGTCGGCCACCGTACCCACTGGTTACCCTGGAAACGGTATCGATTTCAACCCTCAGCTATGCAGTAGAAACCAGCGGCACACCATGGGGGTCTCTTCGTCCCGAGTTTCGACAAGACAGCCCGTTTAAACTACCCGATTACAGCAGCTTCCATCTCTATTACCGCCTTACATTTCGTTTCGCATGCTTCGCAAAATCAACCTGCCTATAACCTTAAATCCCGGGGACACTGTAAAATTGCCGATGAAATTTTCCAACGAGGCTATCTCGAATCGCCAGCCTGATTTCTGCTTTGTACACCGCTAATTCCTCCGGCGTGTTTACTTATGCTAATGTAAAATCTTCTTTGTGCTGGACACGGAAGATAACATGTTTATGGAAGAACATTGTATCCGGAGGAATAAGCACGCAGAGTAGTACAGGTCAAATAATTCAGCGTCTAGTACGGAATATTCCGGGCAGAAATTTAATTAGTTCTTTTAATCTAGCATACGCTATTCGAAAGCCGAGCCAAATATTTGACGAAAATAAAATGGTCGTAATGCGGCATTTTCATTTCAATGGCAACGCGAATTCGAAAATCGAGCGTTATTTAAATTAATTCGTTTCTTTCCGGATTATTTCTATTCTAGATTATCTACGGTATAATTAAAATACTTGCATCGCGCGTTATTATAGAACATAAAACGACAAAATCGAATTAACAACTGGCCGATCGATGAACGTATGTAAAAATATCGCTCGAGTGTTCATCTCTTCATGGTTTCTGTTCCTCGTGAACTTCGTATAATCCGCAAACTTTATTAGCCGGCACAGCTTTATCTAGAAGGGTAAACAAATTTTATCGTCATAAAAGTTCAGAGACATAGTGAGAAAAATGTCAAGCTTAAATTCTCGTGATAACGCTTCGAGAACTCGGACTAATGATTTAAACATCACGTGAACAAATTGGTATACCGATCATTTTCGGGTAGGGCAGATTAAGGTTGTTCATTATGTCGACAAATTCGCTTAGAGATTTAGTTAATCTCGGATTAAAGGCCTTCTCCTCCGCCACTGTGGTTACTGTTCTGCCACAGTAATCGTGGGCTGGGTATAGCTTGAAACACGCTGGCAAGGTAAAAATTTTAGAGTGCACGGACTTGTACAGCACCTCTGCGGAGCCGCCCTGTAACGAATAGAAATTGCAAAAATTAGTATCAACCGTGAAAATCAGTCAAAAATACGAGATCCGTCGGAACAATCCAAAATCGCGTGTTTGAGGTTAGATATAAGGACATAGCGAGATGAAAGATCGGGGAACGATGATTATCGCAACGCGTATGACGGAACAGACTTTTATAGGAAATATTTGACTCGAATGAATTGTTAAGTATCAATGTATCCATGCCGCTTTAAAAGCTGTTAGCGTCTAAATAAGTGATGCGCACTAGTACGCAGAAGTTCCAAGTGTGCAATATCGAACCTACACAATTTTACGTCAGCGCTTCCAGTATGAAGCCGCCAGATTTTAAGACTGAACGCGCCCCGTGTTATCCCTTGCGGTTAACAAATTAACTGCCGCGTAAAACGCGATATTTAGAACCTTTTTGACGCTCTTCGTGATTGCGTCAAACGTCGTGGCTATAAATAAACGTCCGATAATTATATATAACGCGAAAGGACAATTTTACGTGATTCAGGGGCTGCCCCTTTCAGCGTATCATTTACTACGAACCTGGAAATCCGTTCGTCCGCATCCGCGGATTAAAAGAGTGTCGCCTGTGAATGCGGCACCCTGTTCGTCGCAGACATAAGTAACGCAACCTATTAAAATATGAATTTATCGATTAACAGCGTGGCAACGTGGTGGTGTACTGCAAAACAAATTCGTTTGATAAATTCGCTAGGAACTTGGGATTTTAACCCCTTGCAGTACGATTTTATTGAGAAATATGTTTAAATGTAGCTATTTTAATTAATCGTAATAGCCACTATGTACTTTTAAAAGTTTAGAAATTATTGCAATTTTGGACATAGTAAAACGTTTCACGTGTGAGATATAATAATTATGAGAGTGTAATCGTAAAGAACTAGTAACGTGTTAGACTCCTCGTTGTAGTGCAAGGGGTTAAGAGTAAGATAGTAAAAATTGGATGGATGTGTTGAAGATATGAGAAAAGATAGTGACAGAAATGACACGAAGGATAGGGTAAAAAATGGGATGATTATTTGCAAAGATAAATGATAATGATGGATTTAAAAAGACAATTTATTGGCCATGTGAAACTTTAAAAATTACTCTTTAATTGCGTTTTAAATGAAATGTAGTTGAACTTGAAATGTACTTGAAATAAGAATGGAAAATGTGGAATTTGGAATGAAATATTTCACATGTTTAGTTATGTTTTATAAAGAGGAAATTCTGTTGCGAAACGTGAATATATAAAGCTGCAATCGACAGATTTTTATTTAGAAAAGTGATCGAATTAATAGTAATTTACTATAAGTTTAATCTAGAAGAAAGGTAAATAAAATTCTACCTTTGATCTGTTTTTATGAAAAGAATCATCTCACTGGGGATTATGCTATCTTGACCGCCACACCCTCTATAATTGCGCAAGACATAATAATTTAACATGACATGCAAGAATATGCGATACCTTGGTTTACTGCATAAATCACCTTTTCATACTTATTTCAGAGTCTGCTATTTCTACATCGATACACCTGGCTAAAAATAACGTAAAAATATACAGTATCCTTTGCAAATATCTTTACACAAATGTATACAATTTAATAAAGCAAGTGATTTACAGGATATCTATCTACAAATAAATGAAATGAATTGCAAATTGAGAGATTTAATTTATAACGAAATTTGATTGATTTTTGATCTTTCATCTAAATTTGTCCAGTTGCTTATTTTTGATGGAGTGTAATTCAACTAAATGAAGAAAACTGCAACTGGAGACTCATAATAATTATTATAGCTATGCATGATAAAATATCACAGTATAATAAAATGAATTTTAAAAAAATAACATACAATGACAAAATTAGCATCTACAAATGTCAAACGTTACAGTACAATAATTTCCTGTTTAAGAAGTTCCTTAGTCCCTTTAGCTCATAAACGAGATAAGAATAGTTCTTCTAGAACACCAAGGACACTACCATAATTGAATCGCTATGTCGCTATATTAAAATTGACAAAATGACAAATTTAATTTCGACATATTAATACATAAAATCTCTAAATAAATGACAAAAATTTGCGATACTGTTTTTAATCACTAGCTTGGTACTAGCTATCACTAGCTTGGTCCTAGCTATCACTAGCTTGGTCCTAGCTATCACTAGCTTTAATTTTCAAATGCTATTTTTAATCACTAGCTTTAATTTGCAATACTCTTTTTAGTCACTAGCTTAGTACTAGAAATCACTAGCTTTAGTCACCAGCTTGGTACCAACTATCCTAGTTATACTGAGTATTCTAGTAACATTCACATATCGGTTGCAGAAAGTAATTAAGGTTCACATACGTCCACATACGTATATGCATACGAACAATGGTGTATATTTTCAATCACGGGTACTTTTAATGGCACGAAAAAGATGTCTGACCTTCAGTATGTCCGGGAGTAGGCAGCACCCGTAAATTGTGCCTGCCGAAGCATATTTGGTCATCCGGATTCAAGAGTATATCAGCCTTAGCGCCGCTGCTACGTGATATCATTGACTGGCAACCAGGTAACAAGCACTTCAGCCTTCCTGTTCCGGTGATATGATCAGCGTGCATATGCGTATTTACTGCAAAAGGCGTTTACCAGAACGGTTATCGGTCATCGCGTGCACGAACGCCTTTCATCCGTCCTCCTCGAAATTCATTTTAATATTAAAACTTCGCAAGTACGGAGCTGGCTACCTCTCGTGCGGAGCTCCCAGACGTTTTTCATTAATTTTAGTAAGAGCTAATGATAAACATAAACGGCGGAGAGCTCCATTTTAATTATCAAGTTTCTCGATTAACTTTGAAAATGAGAAGAAGACAGAATCGAGGGAAATGATAACGAAGAACCTGCAGCACGACGAGAGTTCAATTTCAATTCACTTTGAATTGCATTTCGATTTCGTATAAATACAGTCTACAGGGTGGTTCACGAAACGTGGAATAATTTGTCGATATAATACTGTATGAACATTTCTTTTTCTCATGTTACAGTACGAATTAGAGTGCATATTTTTTTTATTTTGGAGTATATATTTGGAGAGACTATATAGTATATAGTTTTTTTCATATGTGCAGGAATTTTACAGATTTATTCATTTTTTATTTAATTTACTCGTTTCTTGATTATTTATTTTAATATTTAATGTTTAATATTTAATAACAATAACAAATCTGCAAGTGGATATCGTACAGAATAAATTTTACACTGTTAATTATTACAAGTAAGCAATAAAAATTAGCACAATTTAAATTATATAATTATAAATGAGAAAATTTCTACAACCAAATTCGAATACAGATCACAAAAATTCATGAAAAATTTGGATTACTGTGATTTACGTATCATTCAATAAATTTCTTTTACTATTTTTGCTAAAAACATCGATATTACTTTAAAATCAAACTGACAATATTTGATTTAAAATAGCAAAACTGATATTAAAATCTGCAGAACACCTGCATTTATGAAAAGGCAGTAATATTTTATTTTTTCTAAATTATTACTATTTTTACTAAAAATACCAATATTGCTTTTAGGCAAAGCTATTAATAAATTTGAGATATATAATAAATAAATTTGAAAAAGATGTTAAGATCTCCAGAAAGCTTGGATTATATAATTTTTTCCTCCACACCTCGTGAATTTCGTATAGAAATTTTTGTCGTGCAATACCTGTGTTGGTAGTTACTCGAAGTGTGCAAGTCGCGTGGACCACCCTGTATGTATGTACATACGACTGTTCTTTGACTTTTTCAATAAGCCGATGGTCATATAATTAAATTTTTTCTAGAGGCTCCCTTTTAATTTGAACGGAAGACTTCGAGTGGCAATTTGAACAATTAAGCGCACGGTTTCCTTAATAATACTTGCACTTCATTAAATTATTGAATTACCAGCTGCTGTGTTCGCGCTCAATAGACTCCAGTTAAGAAGTTTCAACCAACGAGAACGTTTTTGACCTATTGTACAGCAGATATATCAACGCGGGAGATTGAATCGTTGAAGTCTTCATTTCAACGTGCACGATCTTCAACTGTCGCGCATTTCTCCGGTGGAATGTAATCAGATTGGAACAATCGATGGTTAATTTGGTTGCTCCTTTGTTGTACTCGAAACAAATCAGCCGAATAATGCACTTAAAGCCTTCGCGTACAAACGAGATTCGATGTGCCTCGCTTTTCCATAAGAGAAATTGAAATTCGTGGTTGTTAAGGACAATTAGGGACGATATTAATCTTATTGAAAGAGATCATAGTTATATCTATAAAATAATAATGTATTATATATTTTATAATATCGTATGATTGTGTTATTGCAGTATCGTGTCACTTTAATATTATTGTAGTATTGTATGTACTATGGTAGTAAATAATAATACTATTATAATATTGTAGTATTACATAATTATGATACTATAATATTATATAACTATAATATTGTAATATTAAGTAATTATAAGTTTGTAGCATTATATAATTATGATACTGCAATATTAAGTAATTATACTATTGCAATATTGCAATGTTATATGATTACAATATTGTTGTATTATATAATAATGATACTGCAATAACTATACTATTGTAACATTGTATAAATACAACATTGTAATGCTACATAATTATAATACTGTAGCATTACATAATTACAATATAGTATAAATGCAATACTGTAATATTATGTAATTATAATACCATAATATTGTACAAGTATAATATTATTATATCATATAATCATAATACTGTAATATAATATAATATCTTATATTGCATTCACTATCTCCATAAAACAATAATACATTGCACGTTGTATAAACCTTTAAACTTGATGAAAAATCAATTAACGAGCTTTCATCTTCGGCTGATTAAATTTCATTATGATTCTCGAATATTGATATATACGTATTCGCAAACAACGGATGTAAATTTGCACGTCGATACAATTCAAAAGAGCGTATCACAGTATACTGGCAGTACGTCGAATTCAATTAGTTTGGAAATACCATGTATCTCGTTCTCCCATATATCATATGCATTGAAATTAAAAATGTACGATCTGCCTGTTAACGTGGTCCTGTTTAGCAGTCTTTTGGACCATTTCGACCATTATTATCCACTAGAATAGGAAAGGATTTTTAATATGCATTTCACCGAAAGAACGGTTTATGACAGAGAGAGTGGAATTATATTCTAACTGAAAGTATGTATATTCACCCTCGAATAATTTTCAAAGTCGTTTTTCGAGAATGAAATTTTTCATGCGGAAAAACATGTTCCATGGTTCCGTTTTATTTTCTGCGAGAAAAAAGGTCATCCCATTTCCGGTCCCGCCACGATTTCGAGCAACAGCGAATGGAGGATGATTTCAGCGAACGTGATTATACTCTCAACTTACTAGCATACTTTAACGTTAATCCCAATTCCTGAATAATGGTTTTATCTCGTTCCGCCCATTCAATCACCGGATCAATTAAGATCGCAGTCTTATCGTTGATGTCGGCCAGCAGATAAGTGTACGTGCTGGACACGGGGTCGAACATCTGAGAATTTCAATTAAAATTAAAAAGAGATCTTAAAAATTCGTTTCAACGGATTTCTGAACATTGACATGAAAAACAGTGAAATTTGCGAAAAATTCTAATTTATAATAACTTCATGGACGACTGAAATTATTAAAATAAATATATATATATATATATATTGCATTCATAATTACTTATCATTACTTAATTTATAATATTTATAATATATACAGACGTTATGAATTAAATGCGTGATTCATAGTTCGTATAATATTTATAGCTAGTAATTAGAATTATTTTTATTTAATTGATATTAATGAATATAGTGAAAATTGAATGAATTATGGGTAGAAATATACTTCATGACATACTACGCTAATCAAGTGGCCCAAAATGTTAGTTTTCCGATTCGCACAATGAAATATTAATGCAGTATTAATTGTTGGAGTGGCCGACAAGTTCTAGAACAACTTTAAATTCTGTAAACCCTAATGTACTTGACAAATTGCTATGCAGTTGCAGTTTAATTAAATACTCTCTACCGTTCCCTTCATTCAAGTGCTGTAACTTCCTAACTCCTTTGAGGGTATCTATTATCATTTTTTATCTACTTAACAATCGTTTTTAATTTTTAAAAACATCGGAACATTTTCATTATATGCTGAAACTAACCTCAAAATTTGTTTAAATCTTTAACTTGACTTTTATTACTAATTCTATAAAGAATTAATTAATTTCTTTATTACTGTATATTTATAAAAAGCTTCTGTGATGATATTGAAAAATATTAGTTTGTATAATCGCTCTTAGTATTTTATTTTTCTCTATTTTCTAATGAAAAAAGAAAAATTAATATTTTGAAGAAACTAGAATAATTATTCGAGAATTTTTATATAACTTTTCGTTCAATTATATTTAATAGTTTATATTTAATGAAAGTGAAAATTAATATTAATTTAAAACAAAATTAATTAATAGTTTCAAAAACTTTATATTATAAAATTTTTAAATAAATTATTTAGATATTCCTTAAATGTTTTTGTAGTTTGATAGGTTATGTTACGAGTAAAAGATAATTTTATAAATTTTGTATATAGTTTGCAAGTAATAATTAAAATGCTATATGTTTTCAAATACTTGAAATTATTAGTTATCAATTCTTATAAATGGGAACGAGTGCAAAGTTATTAGCAAACTAATGTTAATAATATTCTTGTTAGAAAATATTACGGTAGGTATCTTCGTGTAATTTATAAAACATTAAAGTAAAAATGTGTATTAATATATTTACATTACATAATTTACAGAAATCAGAAATTCACGTAATAAAAGATTGATATTCAAAATATACGAAATGCTTAAAATGTAAATTGATTGTTTGAAATTATTAGTACGTAATAAATCGCTAGATGTCGCTACAACCGCAGCAGTGAAATAGGCGGAGAAATATATATGTATATAGCTACGAAATGCAACATGCGCAATTATTGACTTACTTGACGAAACAGAAAATCTTTCGAAAAGGGAATTGGCTCCGTTAATGCTGCAGATTTATTGTTGAAATTCATGATAATTAAATTATGTTTACAAAATGTAACTTTTATAAATCTCTGACACAAATTTTTAAACATTTCAAGAACATATACTTTTTATATTATTGGAACAATGTATTCTCACTGACACAACCGGCAGCACTGGGGTTTGACAAAATCAAAATGACGTAACTGTAATAGTTTGAATCATTTATCTGATTGCGTTATCTTTATCGGATATGAAGTTAATTTGTTGATATATAAGATTATAAAGCTCGTATGGTAGAAATATAATGCAGCATTTACATGTAAAAATATATTTAATCATAATTTTTCATGTATTGAAAATAGCAAAATAAAGTTTTATAAACCTCGAGTCAAAATCTAAATTACATTCTTTGATTATAAATACGTATTTATTAACGAAATAAAAAATACAAGAAAATTTTAGGATATTAATATACACTTCTATAAACTAAAATTTCTTGGTCGTTTCCTGTTAGTAACGTCCATTTTGCCGTTAGCTTGCTTTTAGCACCATCTTTACTGCTCTCTTTCCGGTTAGCTTTCGAACGAAGGTGTGTACTTTTAGTAGTTTTCTGTAATTTGGCATGCTATAGTAGAAAAAAGGTAGTATAACTTGTAATGCAAAATATTTAATGTAACTTATGCGGCTATTTTATATATACGTAAATGTGTGACAGATTAAATTTAGGGTTACAATATTTGTTGTTCTAATACACGTGTAAAATAAATGTATAACATTTATAATGTTAATTATTATTATATTTGACATTTATTTTAGATGCCTTCTGTAACGCTTAAAGATGTTGATCAACACAAATTTGTGAAGGCTTTTGCTGCCTTCTTAAAAAAGTGAGTAATTATTTTATTTATATGCATGTAACTAACCTCAAAAAGGGTATTATTGTTTAAAAATATTACGGTTATAGGTTATCTATATTTCAAATTGTAAAACATACGTATTTATAATTTCATTATGTATTGTAACTACTTATTTTATTGAAAATTTTAGGACTGGTAAAATGCGAGTTCCAGAATGGGTAGATATTGTAAAATCTGCACGTTTCAAGGAACTTGCTCCATACGACCCAGATTGGTACTACATAAGATGTGCTGCTTTGGTTCGACATATTTATATTCGTAGTCCAATTGGTGTAGGAGCTGTGACAAAAATCTTTGGAGGACGTAAACGTAACGGAACCCATCCCAGTCACTTCTGCCGATCTGCAGGTGGTGTTGCTCGTAAAGCTCTTCAAAGCTTGGAGCAACTTAAACTCATTGAAAAAGCTCCACTTGGAGGACGTAAACTTACCAGCCAAGGTCGTAGAGATTTAGATCGTATTGCTGCACAAGTCAAAGCAAAAAGCAAAAAACAACTTAAACTGCAAGAGACTCTTGTCCTTTAATTTCTCTGTTTCTGTAATAAAAGTGAAAAATCCATACATTGATAGCTCTGTTTATATCCAGACCTTATTTATTCTATTTTAAATTAAATTTGGAAATTTGATTGAATATAATTCAATAGCATAACACATAGCAGAATAATGTATGTAACAAATGATATATAAATATTATTAACAGATAGGTTTGAACAGAAATTTATAACTACAATAGTATTTGATATTTACTTGATATTTGATTAACTAACATTTAAATATTTCTTATTGGATTTGTAATTTATCTCTGTGACCTATAACAAAAAATTTCTGTTTATAAGATAGAGATAATTATAGTAATGGAAACTTCTTGTGATAGATACTTTGATTTACAGATTATAAGTGTTTTAATTCCTTTTATAATGTAAAAAGCTTAATATATTTTAACTTTTCTACAAATTTATCAAAATTAGTTCAAAATAGTTGACTATATAATAATGTTAACACATAATTATATTATGTTATATACTTAATACAACACATCTTTGTTATATCTATAAATAATAAATGTAAGTTTAAAGTAAATTGAATTAATTTGACGAAGATTGTAATAAAGCCATCAGATGGCAGCACTATGAAAACTAGACGTGAACGGCTCTCTTTCTAACTATAAATTTAATGGTGAAGGTATGGGCGTATGCAGCGCCGCCTCAGTAAAACTTTGACCGTGGACGAAAACGTTTCGGCACCGATCAGGCTGATTTTAGATTGAGTGGCGAGTAGGTGTAAAGAGATTTTTCTGGGACGCAGCCGCGTACGCGCGTAAAAGTGTGTATGCAGCGTGAGTCGCGCGAAAAGAGAAAAGGTGCGAAATATGTTTCCTCGCGGTCAGTGCGGGAAACTCAGAGCAACCAAAATGTTAAAGAAATAATCGTGTCGCGCAAGTGTCTCTCGCTGGTAGAGAAGACAGACCGTGTGCTTAAAGTTTCTTTCTCTCTCTTCCTCTTTCCAACCCCCTTCCCTCTCCTTCTTCTCTTTGTGTCCTTCTCCCCTCCCGCCGGCGCTCCTCTCTGGGTCCGTTCGTCGCACCGGGACGACGTTTACCGTGCGTCACGGGAAACGGCATTGGGAGGAGACAGAAGGTGACAGCCCTCCCGCGGAATTTATGGTGCGCACGGGAGAAACGGTGAAGTGAGTGGTGTTAGAGTGAAGTGAGTGTAACGGCACCAAGTGCTAGACCGGTGAAAAATTTAGGGGGCTCCCCATCATTCCGGCCAATATAGGTGGAAAGAGGGAAAAAATGCCGGGCCTAATCGCCGTAAGCGAGTTCGTCGAGGAGACGAGGGAGGATTATAATTCGCCTACTACGTCCACCTTCGTCTCGCGAATGCCACAATGCAGACAGACAATTACATCCCTCGAAGAGGTAATGCATTTACATGTTTCTTGAATCAAACATTTTCTCGTTCATCACTTTGCATCTTTGTAATGTAAGCTTACCGAGATTTTGATCAGTGGTCGAGCGCGTGTTCCAGTGCGTGGGCGTTTCACAATTGCTTCATGGGTATGTCTTACCTATGATATCTACGAACACGATTGGTGTAACGATTTTTTGATGCAACACGCATTGCATTAACCTCTTACGAACGTCTTCGATAGTACACGCAACTTTTACCATGCTCCCTGGTCAGCATCTCTGTCAGTTTCCACGTATCGATGATGTAAATATTGCTTGTGGTTGATTTACGATTTCCACTTCGGGTAACATATCAAGGCATGCCGTCATTGCTGTATTTCGTCTGCGTAAGGCTAGGGGAAAATAGTAATTTACAAGGAATTTTTAATCGCGCACGCATGGGATAGTTCGAATTGTCGGGAATGTTTATGCATTTCCTCATCCGACACGTACATAGTCTAGCGATCGATGATAGGCTATTTTCACGGTATTACATGTATCTTTAACCTAGCGTTATGACGGATTTTGAATCAGATTAATTAACGGGATAATAAAGGCGCGCTACCAATTGTAAAATAGAAATATCTCGAAAGAATTCATCGCACGCGATTCACATGGATGCGAATAATCAATCCTTTGTAATAACAAATCGTAACATGCCAACATAATTATCTGTAAAGAATGCTATTGCATGAGGCTTTCGTAATTTAACAGCCACCGTAATTCTTGCTGGTTGCACTGCTTAGCAGAAGTACTACGTGCATCGGCTCGAGCTGGGACCCGTTTCTAAGTTATCCGAGATCGTGAAAATTTTCACCGATGGCTGCTCGAATCGAAGCGCCCATATAGTCTCACGCACAGACGTTATCGACGAACCATATTCTTTCAACTGACGTCCATGTTTGTTTACTTCCGAGCTTCACCGCGTATTAAAAATTATACCATAAAATATCATAAATTATCATATAAATATTCTCCGATCATATTTATTCAATTATTTAACCGTTTATATAAAATAATTTATATAAGTAATAAATAAAATAAAATTACTTATATAAAATAATTAGTTATATGAAATAATTCCATAATATAATTATAAAATAATAAAATTATTTAACTATAATTTAATTATAAAATCGTTTTATAATTAAATAACCATAATGAAAATTTGTATTGTCTCTTATATTGTTTAGAGTGTTTAGAATATTTTTACAAATTTCATAGAAACTATTACACTATAGTATAATTTTGTCAGCAATGGAAACTGGGTCGTTGAGTGTAGTTGCATTGTATTTAGATTAGTGTATATGGGGTTTAATTACAATCAATAAGCATTGATAAGGTGAATGTTATCATTGCAACACCTCTCTTTTACATATTATCGAAACGTGGGCGTATTTTGTAATACATGTAGATAGGAAACTTGGCGCGGAAAGTGTGCCGCGCGGTCGGAAGTGGAATTTATGCATGGAATTACTAAACTGAAGTTTCTTTTCACAAAAGAACACTGGTTGAGCTGCCGTTGATTTTAAAGTCGATAGCGTGGAATGCTCGTTCGATAAACTATTTAACGGAAATTATAATGATGCATTATGTAAAATAATACAATTACATATTTATGTAATGCAGCTCCGAGCCCAATTAAAATTAATTTCTTTAAATATATATTTAAATCGGAGAACAATGAATCGGGAGGTTATAAATAAATTATTTCACATGTATATGCATATACAGGGTGTCCTTAGAGAACAAGGCCTCTCTAAGATAGAGGTAGGACTGTAATATTAAGAATTTGTATTTCATCGAGTAAATATTATTTAAGAATTTGATATATGCATTAATATTGTGCATATAAATATTAATTGTTTATAATAAATTTTTATTTTGAGGTAGATAAAATTATACTTGCTTTTATTTTTATCTGAAATGAATAAATTGATTTATATAAAAGCAGTAATATTACAATAAATAAATAAAATAAATTTTTAGTGATGTAAATATAAAAATATGCAATTTTTACTTAATGTTGGTTTACACAGACAGAATGGAAAATCAAGAGGAATCTTGGACTACCGTCACCGCTATAAATAAAAGTAGTAATACAGATATATTACAATCAATATGTCTCTTACTAATAACATTATAAAAATTTGTTAAATTAACTATCTAATTAAATATACATACTCTGTGTTCGTAAGAAACATTTATTTATATAGGATTATTTAAACAATCAATATTAATTAATAATTATTTTAATTATTTAAATATCTTAAATCACAGAATTTATTAATATTACCCATTAATTATTTAAATTAATAATTATTATAATAATTTATTAATACACCTCACATTTAACTTCTCATTTGAGAAAAATATTTTAATTACTAATATATATATATATATATATATCAAACAATTTTTTAAATATTAAATTTAAATTTAAAAAATTTTTTAAAACCCAGATAACATTGATAAATGTATTTGAGAGGTTACATTGAATGGTAAAATTTTCCTTTGTGGAATTAAGAGACGAAGAGGAATGGTCAAGTACAGACGCCTTTCACTCTTGTATTTTTTACTAAAATCGTACAGAGTATGTATGGAGTCATTGAACCCATCTCATACTGTCCAATCATTTAAGAAACCCGAATGACTTTGATACTAAACCTAAGTAAACCAAACTAGAAGTTCATCAACACTATACCCTAAAAAATAGCAGAACGAAAAATTAATAAAAATTACTTTTTTGTAATTTAAATATTTATTAATATTAAACTTATCGACGTAAGTCGTTCATATTTTTAAGTTGTTTTCAAAGCAATTTCCAATGAGATTAAAAATGGGATGAAATGGGGTTAATTATATTAATTAGATCGGAGATTAATTAAATTTCCCGCTAAGATGGTTCACATCCACATTATTTGTATTTCCCCATTTCCTCCTGTAATTTCCCCAAGGATCGTTTTCCAATTTAATTTTCGAAATAGAAATAGATTTAATTTTGTTTCTACATTGTAATTTAATTTTCAAAAATTTCGAAAATTTAAGAAATTATATATGTAATAAAATGGGACACCCGGTATATTTTTCTGAACAGCAACGACTTTTATAGCCTTGTAAATATTACACGACACATGATGCAGAAAAAATTGTTAGTTTTGATAACGTGGGCCTTATGCGAACCACGTGGCGTGAATGAGGAGCCATAAAAATCTGCAGAAGCGTGGAACTGGTCATCTTTTTTTGGGAACACCTTGTATATACGTTTTATTTGAGTCAAGAATAACGAATTAATTTTATGACACGATTTATTTATGGAACATAGCAATAATGCTGATAGAATAAGTATTCCCCATAATGACAACAATGGAGGCAAGAACGGTGCTTGAAGTAATTAGGGGATCGCTTATTTGAATGACTTTATCGCTCCTATGTAATATCGTAAAAGCTTCGATGTCCCAAATACGTCTTTCCTGAAGAAAAATACAACCGTACATTGCTCAGAGATATATGTCACCCATAAGGTAATTTTGAAAAAATTGTTTAATAAACTTCTACATTAACACCCTAATTTTATGTATAATAATTGCTTCCTGCTTGTAGGAGAAGCTCCTGTGAAGGTTCCTTATTTTTCTTTGGATATATGAAAGAAGCATCATTTCATTATAATAAATAAAAATTTTGGTTTTCTTTTTCAATTTTATGGTAATAAAAGAATATTGAAATTTTGAAGTGGTGGGAGTAACAGAATATTATTGGTTTGCAGGGAAGTATTAAAGAGTGTTAAGACTACCCTACAACGTGTGAGACCTATGTGAGATGAAGGATTTGAGAAATATGAAAGAAGTTCCTACATATTCTATTTAACATCATATACAGTGGCTTTCTGTCATTTGGTATTTGATTACCGTCACAGGAGATGCCCAAAGTGGCTACCTAGCATTTGAAGCCTTGCCTATGGACGCCTTGTCATTGATCTGGTTACTCTTTCGATACTTGCCAGTGTTGCACGTAGCCGTTGAACACCTTGTTCAATTCTGTACTGCAGTACTTCAACGACTTCAATAGACGTTGCGTATACAACGGATTTCAAGTGTCCCTCGAGCAAAAATTCAATTAATCTGAATCCGAGGAATGAGCAAGTTGTGCAGCAGTCTCCACAACTAGTCCATTTATTTAACAATTTCTTTTCATTTTTGGCAAATTTAACAAGTGAACATGAGAAGGATTGTATGCATTAGCCAGTTGCAGTATATGAGAAACTTTATGTTTTACATTGTTTTAGATGATTTGACAATATTTTTATTTTACAATATTATATTAATATTTTTATTTTATAATATTATAAATATACAATAATATATTATATATTTTGAAATGACATCTGAACAGAATTGTAAAGATTGACACACTCAGCTCTTTAAATAAACTGTATAATACACTTTGATCTTCTTCTGTTGTTGATTATTAAAAACTGAGCTAATTAATTAAAAGCTAATTATTTAAAGAGTTGAGTGTGCCAATTTTTGAACAGTTCTGTTCAGATGTCATTTCAAAATATCAAAATAAAAATATTGTATACAATCTTTCTCATCTTCACTTGTTACATTTTAACAAAAAGCTGTATAATATACTTTAATTTTCTTCTCTTGTTAACTAGTAACAGTGTATTATACAGTTTATTTAAAGAGCTGAGTGTGTCAATTTTTACAGTTCTGTTTAGATGTCAGTAGTTTCTTTCAGTAGCTTACTTCCTTCATCATTCTTTTGTCTCGTTTTTCTCACTGTACTTGGGTCATTTATTGCATTTACATATCCCATAAATAGAAACAGAGTAACAGTAAACAATAATGCTAGCTGCTCTTTGACATATTGAGCCTAATTTAGGAAACCAGTTAGGTAACATACATACTACATCATGTACTAGCAGTGCTTGAATCTAAATGGACTGTAATGGTACTTCCATCCTT